GATGGATGGATGGATGGATGGATGATGGATGAATATGGATGGATGGATGGATGGATGAATATGGATGGATGGATGATGGATGGATGGATGGATGGATGGATGATGGATGGATGATGGATGGATAGATGGATGGATATGGATGGATGGATGGATGGATGAATAGGTGGAGGGGTAGGTTGGTACATGAATGGGTGGATTGCAGAATGAGCCTGGCCGCTCAAAGCAGGACCCTGATCTTTTGGACTGAGTCTGAGTCAGATTCCTTTGGCCAAGCGCTATGGTCATCGCGGTTTCTTCTTTCCTGCAGGCATCTCCCGCTGCCCTGGCCAAGAGTGTGTTGGCCGAGGTCCCCAACCAAGTCGTGGACTATTACAACGGCAAAGGAATTAAACCAAAATGCTCATCGGAAATGTACGAGTCCTCCAGGACACTGGCACCATGAACTCTGCACACTTTGACAAAGTTCCAAACTACTATTCTTCCTCCTATTGATACTTCCCCTCCCCCCATACTTAAAAAAAGCAACACGTACACATTTAAAAATAGCACGTTTTGGTGATTTTTAACTAACCAATGATTTTCTTTGCATGTGTAGCCCCCAAGGCCTGGATCTGTTACCCTGTTGTATTGTTTAAAAAAGACAGAAACAAACAAAAAAAGACTTTTTACACAGAAACACAAATAACAACTTACTCTTTACAGTACAGCATGTCGCCTTGAAATAAAATGGTATATCGGTATCTGTTTTTTATACAGGTTTGTTGACATTTTGCTAAATTTCTTATTATCTTTACACTGTAAAGCATTTTGAAACCTTTATTGAACGTCGATAGCCAAAACATATTTGGTTTTATCTGCTCCAGGCCGAAAGACTTTTCAAAATGGCAGATGCATGGGCTGTATTTTGCATGTTTAAAATAAAAACAGAAACAAGAAACCCACACTGTTTTTGCAGTTGGGAATCTCACTAGTCTTCCCGGCTGAGGATGAACATGCTACTGATGAGGAGATGTAACCAGAGGTAGTCTTCTTGAAGTAGGGCTGTAGCTTCCAGCCTGGCGCTCCTCACACTTCACTGTACACACAACCCACCTGAGGGTCTTGTTAAAACCCAGAGACTGATGCGGGAGGTGTGCCTGGGAGCAGCGAAGCTGCATCTCTAACAAACTCCCAGGTGATGTCCATGTGGTCATTGGCTCACACCGAGAGTGGTGAGGCGCTGGACTCTAGGCCGTGACCCATCAAGACCATTTCAAGCAGGGCAGCTCCTAGTCTGCTGGAGAAGGGCATCTCTTCCCACCCGTAGTTCAAAAGCCCTGCCTGTCTCAGAGGTAGGAACAGAACGCAATGAGGCTGGTTCCAGAAACTGCAGACCCCAAATCAGTCTCGCAGCGCTATCTTCACACCTCTTGCTTCCACGAGATGGGAGAATGCTGCTTCTGGCCAGCCCCTGCCTTCTGCAAGGAGGCGTCCCTCGTCCCTCATCCCTCGACGTGGTTCTGTGTTTAAGCCGGTCCCTAGGAATGGGCTGAAAGCACGTTCATTGAAACCTGTTCACAGCAAAGGGCCATGCAGCGTGGAGGCGTTCTGTTAGCATGTCAGCCGGCCGGTCTTGGATCCGAAGAATGGAGGCTTCGCTCCCATCATCTTCTCGCAGATAAAAGGACAAGTGTTTTCCAGCAAAAAAAGACGCAACGCGGGACTTCTTTGGGGGTCAGAGAAATGAAAAGTCAATCACAAAGCGTAACTAGTCCTGTGTGTTTGTTTGCTGGGGGTGGGGTGGGGGGAGGGTGAACAAACCCTGTGTGATTTCCAGAGTTGTCATTTTAGATCCTAACTTTGCAAATACATGTCACCCAAGCACAACGTTTTGGGAATGATGGTTAAAAAAAACATGTATGACTGAAAAAAATCATCAATATTTAAACTGTATTGTTTTATGAATAAATTGGGTACTTACAGAATTTCTTTTCTCTAAGAGTTGTGGTCTTGTTGCTCCTTTCAAGGCAATTCCCTGACAGTGATGTATTTCCTATAGAGGGCCTCAATTTAGGACTCACTCTGCGACAGTGCCTGTGGTAGTCTGGGTAGACTAGAGAAACACAGTCATAGAAACTCATGTCAATGAGAAAGAGGTTTATATACAAGAGCAACTGAATATTGAGAAAACATCCCAGCCCAGTCCAGATCAAGTCCGTAAGTCTGATATTAACCCACATGTCCAACACCAATCTATAAAGTCCTCTTCAGACTCACGAAACACCGACAATGAGGCCAAATGCAGGAAGATCACAGGCCAAAGGGTGGGCAGTCTTGTAGATCCAGTGGCACTGTAAGCATCTCAGTGGTGGCAGGGGTCTCCATGTGGCTTCTCCAGGTCCAGGGTAGGTCCATGTGGCTTCTCCTCAGGGATGTCTCGCAGGGAATCAGCCTTGTCAGTAGAGAATCTCCAAAGAAGTGAGCCAAGAGAAAGCGTCTCCCGCCTCCAAGGAGGAAATACCGGAATTCCCAGAATCCTTAAGGGAAGGCCATGCCCACACAGAAGCCTCATTGGCTATGACTGGATTGACAGAGTAGATAGACTCCACCTCTTCACTCAATCCTCTTAAGTCCCAAATTGATACCAGATTATGTAACCACCACCGTACCATTGAGACATGTGGATTGTTGATTTTATCAAACAAGGAATTAAAAGGTCCTCTGCTACAGGAAAGGAGCCTGGTGTCCTGGTCGTGGCTCTTCACCAGAGATGAGCAGTTTGAACCTACCAGCTGATCTGCTGGAGAAAGATGAGGCAGGCTATGGCTCCAATAGAGAGGTAGAGTCTCAAAAACCCAAAGGGGCAGTTCCACTCTGCCTTGTAGGGTTACTATGACGAGGAACCAGCTCACTGACAGTGGGGGACAGGGGGAGGATGCTACAGAGAGAAGCCCTGGGGGCTGGGAGTGCAACAGTTAAGCCCTGGCCCGTAGTACAAAGGTTGGCTGTTTGAACCCACACAGTGGTTCCATGGGCGAAAAACCTGGTGATCTGATTCCATACCGATTACAGCCTAGGAAACCCTATGGGGTAGTTCTACCTGGTCATCTGAGGCAGCCCCGAGTCAAAATTCGCTCGATAGATTTTAAGAGCAACATATTACATAGCCTATTTCTAACCCAAAGTGATGAATACACGGACTTGGAATCCGCCCTCAAGCAATCCAAAGCCATTGTAAACTGAACATGCAGGGTCAGGAAGGGCAAGGGCCTGTGACCGTCAGTCAAAATAATATGGGTCTATGCCATTCTCAACTGTCTGTTGGGATTTACTGCACTCGCATCAAGAACCTTGGGGTTTATTGCATGGGGTATTAAGGACAGAGTACCGTATTCCTAAAACAATTAAATTTAAATTGAGACATTCAAGGTCCTGGTGAATTTAGTTAAAAAGAGCAATAACGAACCAATTACATCATAGCATAAATCATTTCTTTTTGAAAAACTCTATTTTCAACAATGATAACTCGTGGTAAGAACCGCATTGGTTTACATTTCTGTCCCCTTCTCTCATGTCTTGCTTGATGAAAGGCAGCCGGTGTTCATTGGCTGAATGCTTCGGCAGTCCATCAGTGGTGAAACGAGGCTCTGGCTCAGGCACCTGAAGCACATGAGGGCAATGACATGGACATGCCACTGGAAAAGGGAGGAGTACTTTGATTCTTTGCAGAACACCAAAACTTGACAAGTAGCATGTTCTTCATAGTCCGTGTCAATGCAGAATGTGAATTCCTGTCAATATGCCTTTCCTATGCATTTTCTTTTTTTTTTTTAATCATTTTATTAGGGGCTCATGCAACTCTTATCACAATCCACACATACATCAATTGTGTAGAGCACATTTGTACATTCATCGCCCTCATCATTCTCAAAACATTTGCTCTCCACTTAAGCCCCCGGCATCAGGTCCTCATTTTTCAATGGCTCGTTTTTTGTCCCCCTGGATGACTTTGTAACATGATGCGCTGGACCACTTGGAACTTATTGATCTACTCAGTTATTCAGAGCCCCAAAATGCTCACACATTTTATGTCATTGTACATTATCCCCCAAAAGTACATGGTGGATTGCTGTATCATGGCACTGCCGATCTCATCCGTCGTCTGGAGGTATTGAGCATCTGTCAAACTCATCGTGGCAGAGAGAGGTTTCCCAAATTTCTAATCTCCCTAGAAGCTCACATGGTATCATTGGCAGCAAATGCTGTCAGTTGTTTTTCTGGAAGTGACAAGATCGACCCCTTCATTTGTAAGAAACTGTCTCCCAAGTCTTCAAGTCTGAATAACTTACGGTTTCGCTGTCAGTTTGCTTTCCCAATTTAAAACAAATAAAATAAAACTCCACTTCAGCTCACAACACTGTCACACACGGGCTTTTGCACCCCCTTATGCTCGGATGCTGCAGAAACGTTTTGGGGGTGGCTTGTATTTTGGTATCCAGGAAAAGTACTCAAAGGTCAAGACCTAATTCAATTATTTCTCTGCTCCGCCAAAGGTGTTCTCAATAGAAATGCCATGCTATTTGCTGCCGATGCTCAACCAGTGGTTGTGGAATTGATTCCAAGCCATGGTGACCTCATGTGTACCAGAGTAGGATCCTGCAGCTTTCAGGGGCTTTTTTTTTTTTTTTTTTTCAGAAATAGCCCATCAGGCCTTTCAACAGAGTTGCCTGTGGGTGGATTTGACCTTCCAACCTTTCAGTCAGCAGCCGAGCATGTTAACTGCACCCCCACCCCAGGAAGTCCACTACCAGTGCTTGAAATGGAAAGGTGCAGTCAACACCCATCCAGTCAGGGCCACTGCTCCATCAGCCTTATCCCCAATGGCTTTCACACTGGACGCAGTTGGCAATGCAACAGAGAGAGAAATGCCTTCATAGGGTTACTATGAAAATCGGGTTTTGTTTCGTTGAAAATTGTTTTTACCTCAAAGACCTTGGGAGATCCCATCTGGGGAACGGATGACTTGACAAAGGATGCGTTCACGAACTCTTCTCTGTGTTAGAAATCACCACAAACTCCGCGGTTTCAGACTTTGCACCATCTCACAGTTTCTGTAGGTCAGAAGGCGAGATCGGCTCAGCTGAGACCTCTGTTTAACGTCTCGTTGGACTGAAGACAAAAGTATCTATAGTGTTGTGTTCCTTACTGGATGGGGGTGGGGAGTGGGTGGAGGGGGGGGGCGGAATCTGGCTCATTCCGATTATTAGTCCAATTCAGTTCCTTGGATGCATAGACCCCTTACTGCTTCCTTCCTTCCTGATTGTCAGCTGGGAGGTAGAGGCGTAGACTGTCTTCTAGAGGCTCCCCACAGTCCCTCTCATGCCCTCCTCCATGTGGTCTTCTCCAGAGATGGCTGGTCACGTCCTTGCCTTGCTTTGAATCCTTCAGATGTCTTCTGTGCCCTCTCTGTAACCGGCGCTTATAGTGGCCCCACCCAGAGGATCCAAGATCACTATATTAAGACTCATAACCTTAATTACATCTGCAAAGTCCTTTTGCCACGTAACATAGCACGTCCATTGGTTTCGGGAGGTCAAGTGTGGATATCTGCCTCCCATAAGGAAAGCACAGGAGCTTACCAGAGAGTTCTAAATGGGTAGGCAGGTGTTTGAAGTTGTCAAGGGGCGGCCCATGGAAACACCTGGAGAAGATAAACAACCTAAGACTCTTGCCTTTGAGTGACTTTTGACTCATAACAACCTTGTAGGACAGCATAGAACTGCCCCTCCATCCCTCCGTCAGAGTTTCCAAGGCCACAAATCTTCACAGAAGCCAACTACTGGATTTGTCTCCCTTGGAATGGCCGGTGGGCTCAAACAACCAACCTTTCAGGTAACACGGCAACACCAACACTCCTTATGGAGAATGCAGGCAAGGTCAGTGTTAGAAATAGCTGCTGTGCTTTCACACAAAAAGAAGCAGACTATGAAGGCTACAGCGGGAGTGGAGGAGGCGCAGGTCAAGACACAGACACGCGGGGCTTTCTGGGAGGCTGGCTGTGTCCCTTTGTTGACGTGAATGGTGGGGGCCAGGATGGACTCTCTCAGAATGAATTGAGCTCTACACGTGTGTTTTACCACCTTTTCCCTATGCGTGTTATACTCCACAATGAACACACACACACACACACACACACACACACATAATGACAATATGATTTCATGGAGGGCTTGGGCCAACATGGGTGCAGCATTGTAAAAAAAATTTAATACCTGCTTGTCCAAAACCTCTGCCAAGGGAAGCATGCGCTAAACCTCCCTTCTGCCATTTCCTCAGCACTTGCATAGTATCAAGCCTACACTAGGTGTGGCGACTGGAAATTGGGGAAGAGGTAGAAGAAAAAACACAAGTTCTCTGCCCTTCCAAGATCTTACAGCCTAGATTGCCCTCTGATTCTAAAGTTTTGGCGTACAGTTCGAGGTTTCTTACACATCTTAATATTTAAGAAGCTTAAAAAAGGACACATTCTTGGGAATACAATCCTAAACATTGAAGAATAGTCATGTAGGTGAGAGGCAGGCACTCGAGAAGCGGGGGTCTTCTGACCATCTCCATCATTGTATTTGACCTTGCTATCAAGTCAGGGGCAGACATTTTAACTTTCTAAATCTCTCTAGACTCAATGGTCTCCTCTTGCATATTGTACAGTGGAGAACCTGAGATTTTCAAGCCAGAGAGACCTAGATTCAAATCTAATATCTGCTACTTCAGAGTGGGGTGAAAGCCTCCATGTGTGCATGAATAATGTCCCGTCACTTGAAGGTTTAGTCTGTACAAGTCAACATTCCACGTATTTTAGTCTACAAAGCTGTCCTCTACATATATGCTTTCCTTCCCTCAACAATAGTTTAAATTATATACCACTG